TTTTTTTTTTTTTTTTTTTCTCGTTTATTTGCTTACATAATTGTTCTTTCCTTTATGGTTGGTTTCTGCTTGCAGGCAAGTTCTACTGACTTCAGAAATCATGGTTTGCGTTGGACTACTCCTAAGCTTCCATATAATTATTCCCTATTCTGTTACACAATATGTTGGATCAGCCCTTATCACGTTTGTATCTGCTGAAGTTCTTGAAGGTAAATTGTTACGATTCTTAGCAGTGTTGCATTGCATGAACAAGTCCATTATTAGTTAAACTGGTTGATTATTTCTCAGTTATTGAGGATTAAGAAAAGGAAACATAAGGGTATTTTCATTGCCATTCAATGGCAATAACATGATAGTTTACCTTACATGACAATCTAAAATTTTAGGATGTTGCCTTTTCTTCTCATCTGAAAATATTTTAAATCCATCTGCTTGCCTCATCAATCATTGCTAGATGATGACTGGTGTAACATTTAAATCGGTTCACATCTTGTGCTAAAATCTGAAGCTGAAATATTCATTGAATGTGCCATCTAATTATTGTTTGCTGATTCAATCCAGGAGTGAACCTTTCACTTCTATCAAAAGTGATGTCATCAAGGCTTTCACGCGGAACCTTCAATGGAGGATTGCTTTCAACAGAGGCTGGAACCCTAGCCCGTGTAATTGCAGATGGAACAATAACAATCTCTGGTTATTTCAGTGAAAGTCAACTTCTGAATACCACTTTACTCCCTGCACTCCTCATCTGCATCTCATCAATTGTTGCCACCTGCTACAGCTACAACTCTCTTTATTAGAGTAATAGTAGTTTAGTAGTTACCTTTCCATAAAAATCTGAAGTGTATATATATAGTAATTGTGTAAACCACTGTCATCAGTGGCTAAAAATGCTGCATTATCCAGTGTCACTAAATCTGGTTGACAGCATAATGATTTTCAACTATTATGTTTCTATCCATAATTCAGGAGCAAAATTCTCCTAATGTTGAGTTGTTTCAATCAGAAAGTTGAACCAAACATTGTTAAAAGAATAATATAATCAACATGGAGAATACAACTTGTCAATTCTTGCAATAGTGAATTTAAGTTTAACTTCCCCTCCCCTATTGAGTTTGGTACGTAGATTAATGATGAATGACCTTTTTTAATGATTTAGGATTGGCGAGACTTGGGTTTTTATTTTAAATACACTCCTCAAGCCCATGGTGCATGTATCAAAGGTGGGTGACCCTTTTAGAGTGGATCTAGATGACTCTGATACCATCTTAAAAAAGTAGATTTAAGCCAACCTTATAAAACCGGTTTGTAAGTTGAGAGTTGCTCTCCACTTATATATTCTTTAATTGCCTTATTTTTAGTTGATGTGGAATTTGTTTTTTTTTTTTTCAATACACTCTCTCATGTCAAGCACTAATAGACTTGATACGTGGATTAATAATGAGTGACCTTTTTTAATGATACAGGGATTTGAAAAAAATTTTTAAGGACCAATGTAGTATGGATATATCATTGCTAGTTTGACCAAGTAAATGGTTAGATTTGGTGGGAACAGTGAACCTGTTCCTTCGGTGTCCATTGTTTAAGGGATTCTCGTGTCCTCGTTCTAAAACCAATGGCGCATTGACACGTGTTAAATGTGCACCCTCACTCATGTTGTAGAAAATAAACGTTGATAAATGATTCATACATTAGCACGCCATTATTCGTTAGTAAGAAGAATACCAAAACCTCTCGTAACAAAGTGCATCGAAGGAATATTCTTATTCAATATATGTTTCAATCATTTGGACTAGAATTAAGATCACTTCAGCAATGTCAGGCCAAAGTCCAAATAAACTGATAAACTAAGAAACAAAAAAAAATAAAGTTCACGGACTAGAATTAGTGGATCGAGCAAAGCGAAGGTTGCATGGGTAATTTGTGTTTATGAATTGTGAACAATTATAAAATTAGCAAATTGAAAACTTGGTACACTTTCAAACTCTCAAGAAATGGATTCCACTTGAGAAAGAAAGGATAAGTCACGGTACCTTTGCATAGGAAAAGGAAAAGAATGATATCAAATTTTTGTTGTTTGATTGTTTGCAAGGCATATTGTCTACTAGTATAATTAGAATAATTTAATTGCAAAAGGTAAATGAAACAATATATACTTCTCTTGAATCATTTTCTTGTAGTCATTGTATTTCCAATACTTTATATTCAATATTAGTAATTACTAAATTCAGTGTCAAGAGCATAGTACCTGATTCTCTCGGCATCCCTCATTTACACAATTATTAATTTATGGTCTCACCTACACGTATTCCATGGATATACACATTTTAAATAATTTTCTTAAATTTAATTACCACTCTTTCAAATTATTGGTTATAAATCTCATCCACTTAATATATTTTTTTTTATTAAATCAAGGGAATTAACTAAAACATTGATGGTCCAGCTTTTGTTGGAATCATTGAAGTCAAATCCATCCAAAGAATAACTTGAAACCATTGTACTTTGGTGTCCTCATGCTAACAACCAATGGCGTACGTGTTGATCCATTTGTTACATGTGCAATCTCACTCATATTTTAAGAAATGGAAGTTGAAAAATAATTCACACTTCAACATGTCATTGGTAGTTAGTAAAAAGAATACTTAAACTTCTCATCATAACATACAAGAAATATTCTTTATTGAATTCAAATGCATCCAAAGAATGACTTGAAACTTTTGTACTTTGGTTCCTTCCTTGCAATTATACTAAATGTTAACCTTGATATCATGGTTAACTAGATTAGCATATGAATTCACTTATATGATATAAGTTGTTCAAATTTAATCATTGATCCTAAGTTCGAGTCTTAAATATATAATTGTGTTAAATAGTTCAAATTTAATCATTGATCCCATGTATTAATTCACTTATCATGTATTAAGTGAATTTTTTTAATTTCTCCTTGATTTACTTATTTCTCTTTATTTGACTTTTATTAGTATGATTTACGATTTCTGTAAACTATTAAAATTGTTTAAATTGTTATAGTTATCTTGATTATTTGAGTTACCATGTTTAAATTGTTTCACATTTTAACCTAATACATAGCCATGAATGGTAGAACATATCAAAAGAAAATATCAAAATAGAATCCACACAAGAGAATGACTTGAAACTTTGATTGTTAGTAAGAAATGAGAATATGTCAGGTCAAACTTTGAATATATAGAGTGAGTTTGTTGTTCTGCAAAATTTAAACGTAAGTTTGGTCTATTATTTATTATAAGCTTTTTTTATAAGTCTGGTCTAACATTTCTAAAGTTTGCCCTGACTTATTAGTCTATTTAAATTACTGCTAAGTAGGCTAATAAACTTAACTTTTAAAAATTGATAAAATTATTTTTAAAATATAGTTTACTCAATATTATTAGAATTTAAATTTAAAAGAAATAAAGGTGAAAATTGAATCATTTTTTTGTTGAAGGGACAATTCATGTATAGTCATGTATGTTAATGTACACTCATGCATAAGTCATAAACTTATAAACCTATAATGAAAAAATATAATTGTATAAAAAAATATTTTAAATATTGATAATTTATTTTTGTTTTACAAATTTATTTATTTATTTATATTTTTAATAATATATATTAATTTTTATTATATTATATAAATAAATATGTTGACCTATCAAGTCTAATAGACTTTTTTATAAGCTTAAGCCTAACCTTTTTTATTATATAAATAGATTTTTTTTAAAATTTAAACTTGACATTTTTATTAAACGAATCAGGTCATACCATATTTTAAAGAGGTCAGGTCAAAAGCTCTTATTTAAGGCCTAACCTATTTCCATTTTTAATCATTAGTTTAGTTCCTTCCTTGCATTTGTATTCTAAGCTTAATACATTTTTTTTCTCACCGTTGGTAATGTTAGGACAATTACGAGCCTATTTTTTCTTAAGCACCAATCCTCATTTATTATCAAAATTATTTTTTCTATTTCTCCTTTTTTTTATTACATATTCGTTATATTTCTTTTGTCTTGTATATCTCTTTCCCCCCAAAGAAAGGTATTCATCATGCATTTATTGCTTGTACTTATTACTCTGAGTTAAGTATTAGAGTGTCTTTTGTAAATACTTTAGAGATTAAGTACTTGTTCGCAAAGACTTGGGATAGCAAAAGAGAGCACGAGATAGTTATCGAAGCACCCTTTGGCAGGTAAAGTAAGTGTTTACAGAAAACATAATCTTTGTAGCTGCAAAAATGTTGTGTAACACTATCTTTGTTTTATTGCAGTTGGAACTAAAATTTCTATTAGAACGAACATCATGAAAGTAGTAACAACGATACTAGTGCGTGAGGAGCATTTTCCTTGAAAGGGAAAGAGATGATGAATCATTTGATGGGAAGTTGAACAAATTGACATGGGAATTGAACAAGATAGAGGACCTGTTTTTGAGAGGGAAGAGGAATGAAGATGAACTCCTTGACACATTGAATGAGGTGGATGACCATCTTAGAAAGTTAGACAGGAAGAGGTTGGGTGAAGAGATGAATGACATTTTTGAAAGAATAAGGGATTCTGCTCTGTTGAAAATATATAGAACATGAAAAATAGAGGTGTATGACTAAACAAAATATAGATGTTCAAATTAAACAATTTGCAATATCACACATACAACAAGGGTAAAAACTAATATAATATATTTAAGTTATGAACTCAATTTTGCACATTTTGAAAGTGTTTACAACAAGTGCTTAAGTATTAAAAATGACTTACCCCTAATTTGGTAAAGTAAACAACAAAATATGACTAAGCTAACAAGCAAATATCACTTGTCTGCATAATTTACCTTTTCTGAACATATAAAATCTTTAACTAAACTCACAAGTAAAACAAAAAATTGTAAGGACTTTAAAATATTTAATTATGACGATGAAAAAATCTTAAATATGGTTGGAATTGATTATGTTGATATTGTTAGGCATGAAACAAATAAATTAATTGTTGCATTAGCAGCTCAATATGGATGAAAAATCATTCACTTGGATGTTAAATCTACCTTTTTAAATGAAGTATTGTAAGAAGAAATATATGTTGAACAACCTACTGGTTTATTGTTGCAGGTCATGAAGAAAAAGTTTATATAGGCTTCAGAAAGCCTTGTATGGTCTGAAACAAACTTCGAGAGCTTGGTACAACAAAATTGATTCTCATTTTCTGTACAATAGTTTTAGGAAGAACCAAAATGAGCTTACTCTTTATGTGAATGATTGTGGCAATGGAAAGAAAATTGTAGTTTCACTTTATGTTGATGACTTGTTGATTACAACAAATGGTGTTGATGAAATTGAAGAGTTTAAAAATAGCATGTTACGGGATTTTGAAATGACAGATCCTGGAGTGATAAGGTATTTTTTGGAAATGGAAGTGCATTAGATTGATGATGAAATTTTTCTCTCACAAAAAAAGTATGTAAATGACTTGCTGAAAAAAATTCAAATTGGAGAATTGTAATCCTATTTCAATTTCACTTGCTATTAATGAAAAACTCTCCAAGGTTGATGGTAATGCAATGCTAGAGTGACTTAATATAAAAATTTGGTTAGTTGTCTTCTTTATTTGACTACAACAAGACCATATTTGATGTTCTATAGTAGTTTACTTTTCAAGATTCATGTATTCACCAAGTTTAACACACTTTGGTGTAGGTAAAAGAGTGTTGAGATATTTGAAAGGTATTGCTGATTTTGGCATTTGATACAACAAAAGTGATGGGAAGGTTGAAGGTTTTGTCAACAGTGATTGAGTTGGATCTATTGATGACTCTAAGAGCACAGTAGGGTATTTTTTTTTACTTGGTAGTGGAGTATTTTCATGAAACTCTAAGAAGCAAGATGTGGTTACTTAATCCTTTGTCAAGGCTGAATATGTAACTACAATAGTAGCCTCAATTCAAGTTATATGGGTTAGGAAAGTCTTGGTAGATGTGAGTCATGTGCTAATGGAGCATACTATGCTATGGTGTGATAACAAGTTAGTAATTTCAATTGCTAAAATTTCAATTCAACATGG